CTCACCCACACCCAACACCTCACACCCCTCACTCACACCCCACCCCCCACCCCCACTTCACCCCACACCCCTCACCCTTCACCCCTTGCCCTTCACCCCACAGCCCTTGCCCCTCATCCCTCACCCCACACTAAGTATATGGTCAGAAGCCTGGGGCCCCTCCCCCTGCAGCTGAAGGGCCCTGTCCTGGGAAGTGGGTGCCCCAGGACTGGGTCCCTGCTCAGCCTGGGAGGTACTCTCCAGCCATGGTCAATGGCCACCTGGCTGAGCCACCCGGCCCTGAGCTTCAGGGAAGATAAGGTGCACGGTCCCTCAGGGCTGCGTCGCCCACAGTCACAGGGTTGCCCAAAGCTGCCCTGTTGATTGCAAGACTGAGACCAACTTGAGGCGAGAGCTCAGCTGGGAGCAGAGCCCTGAGCCCCCTACTCCGGCCCAAGACTAAACACCAGCAGACTGGCTTGGAGATGCCCCAAGGTATTCGCTCAGCAGGACACCCCTCTCATTCCCTTGGGACAGGTCCTGTCTCAGTGCAGCAGTGGAGAAGAGACCTTCTGGTATGAAGGTGTCAGGCCTGCTGACCCCAGGGCCGGGCTAAGAGCACCTGGGGCCGGCCTGCCAGGTCTGGGTCTGCAGTGAGGTGGGGTATGGCCCTGGCCAGTAGCCATACACTTCCTGCTGGATGGTGCCTTCAGAAGCATATTGCCGGGCCGGGCGCGGTGGCTCACGCCTATAATCCTAGCTCTCTGGGAGGCCGAGGCGGGCGGATTGTTGGAGCTCAGGAGTTCGAAACCAGCCTGAGCAAGAGCGAGACCCCATCTCTACTAAAAATCGAAAGAAATTAATTGGACAACTAAAAATGTATAGAAAAAACTAGCCGGGCATGGTGGCGCATGCCTGTAGTCCCAGCTACTTGGGAGGCTGAGGCAGGAGGATGGCTTGAGCCTAGGAGTTTGAGGTTGCTGTGAGCTAAGATGACGCCACGGCACACTAGCCCGGGCAACACAGTGAGACTCTGTCTCAAAAAAAAAAAAAAAAAAGAAAAAAGAAGCATATTGCCCAGGCACCGTGTGACCTGGACACCATGTGACCTGGGCACTGTAGATCCCAGGGCCACAGGACAGCGTCCGAGGCACCAGCAGTCCACCCCAGGCTGGAGCAGCACCTCTGGCTCTGCTCCTAGAAGCCCCCACGGACACGCTCACAGGCGCTGACCTCTGGCCAGCTGGGCCCTAGATACTGGACTTTTCTCGCCTGGTGGTGGCAGGGGCCCAGTGGCATGCGGAGGTGCCTGGTGGTTCCTGGTGGGTGAGGAGACATCTCCTCCATTCAGGGCTGCGTTCCCACCCCAGCTCTGCTGAGCAACCAGATTTCTCATCTCGCTTTGCTTGTGCTTGTCACGCGCTATTTCCTTTCAAATACTATGACACCCGGCAGGAACTCGGCAATGTGGATGGTGCCAGCACTGGAGACTGGATTATTCAGCACGTTAAATTACTAAGTTTGCATTTGAAGTTTCTGGGCAAGCGTCTCAGACGGGCTCAGTCGTGTGACAGATCCCTGTCCTCCTGCTTGGCCTGTGGAGGGACGAGGCCAGTGCCAGGCCCCACAGCAGGACTAAAGGCCAACTCTAAGAAATCACAGGTGTGCTTCCAGGGCCCCTCCCTGGCCCAAAGGGAGCAGGGTGCCCTGGTACCAGAAGATGCTGTGGGCAGGTGGGACCTGGCCTTCCTGGAGGGAGCAGGGGGGCTTCCTGAGAGGCTGGGGGCTGAGCAGGGCCATCTGGGGAGACCCTCGCACAGCCCTCTGTCTTGTGTTCCTGGGGTCCCTGGCCTTGCTGGGGCCACTCTCTGGAGGGCTGAGTGACTGAGGAGCCCACAGAGGGACGCTGACCTGGGGGCTGCACCCCCGACCTGCCAGTGGTGGGCCCACAGCCAGGGCTGGGGAACACACATACTGCCCTTGGGTGGGAGCACCAATGGAGCCCAGCCCAGCTGCCCTCCCTGTGCCTGTCTGGCCTCCCGGCCCATCCCCTCCTTGGGGGACCCCTGTCCACCTCCTCCAAGTCTCTGCATCAACCTGGATGGGCATGTTCAAGGGCTCCAGGTCCCATGGAACACTTTTACTTCCTGGGTCTTTGGCCTGATCTTCAACCTGCCGATAGCTTTTCTTTCTAAGCTCTTGCCTCCTGCTGGCCGCCTGGAGGATTGGGGACGATTCACCAGGACTTGGCGCCTCCTCTGGGCACTCACAGGCCAAGGGTGCCTGCCCCCGGCCAGTGCTTGTTGGTCAGGTAGAAGCCATTTGCCTCTGCACCGCTCCCTGCCACAGGAGCAGACCTCTGGATGGCTTGTGGCCGTGGCCGGTGACCCTCTCCCCGGCTGGGCGGGCAGTTCCAGGCCAGCTCACACACAGTGAGCTGCCGCCAAGTCCTTCTCAGGCTCCAGCAGCTGCCCACCTTTCCTCTCCCAGGCACTGATCACGCTGACCTGGGGCTGTCATCGACCTTGTCTATTTCCCCCGGAGGATCTGAGTTGTGGCTGGGCCCCTCACCCAGGGCCTGGGAACGTGTGAGAACTGACAAGGGTCCCCACATGAGTGTCTGATTGTAAGAGAGGTAACGACAGGGAGGGAGAGAGACAGAGGGACACAGAGATAGAGACACAGAGAGACAGAGAGAGACAGAGAGAGAGGGAGAGACAGAGACAGAGTGACAGATGGAGAAAGACAGCGACAGAGACAGAGAGACAGGGATAGGCACAGAGAGACAGAAGGAGAGAGACACAGGGAGGCAGGGAGCCCATGCTCAGTCCCTGAGCGAGATGGGCAGATTGGGGGGCTGGCAGAGGATCTCTGTCTTATGTGCCCAAGCCTGACCCTAACTCACCCCAGTCCGGAGTGTGTGGAGCTCTGCCAGGGGCCTGGGCTATGGAACAGCCAGGATGGTCCTGGAGTCCGGTGCTGAAGCCCAGACCTCAGATGTGGCCCTGCCGTTTAGCGTGGCATTGCCCTAAGAGCACTGTGGCATCTCCCTGCTTGTGATGGTTGCTAGGCCCGTGGGGTCTGCTCTGGGCTCAGGGGTTCCCTCTGGGGTCCTCTGTGGGGTCACTGTGAGGAGGTCAGCTGTGGGCCGTCCACCAGGTCCATCTGGTGGCAGCAGTGGAGGGAAGAGGCCCCAGTGGTGAGAAGCGACCCATCTCTTTCCTGGGCCCTGCACCCATCCCCTTCTGCATCCACGCATGGCATCCGAAGACACTGCAAGGCCTGGGCTCAGCAGATCCGAGCTGGGGCTCAGGCGAGAGCCGCTGGACCCCTGGATGTCTGGAAACAGGTGATTCCAGTCCACAGAGCACCTGTCCTGGACCTGCACGAGGCCTGGGGTGTCAGGTAAGAGGGAAATGTGCCTTTCAGGTTCCTGGGGGCCAGGGCATTGGCAAGAAGGGACCTTGGGAGATGCTGACCCAACAGCTAGGGGGTGAGTCCCGCCTCTTGAACCTGGGCCCACCCTTCTGAGCCCACTTGGCCCAGAACAGGGTGCAAGAGGGATAGGCAGTGCTGAGGGGATCCCCAGCTGTTGGTCTTGGAGGCTGTGGGGACACCTCACACTCCTGGGACATGGGTCCCCTGCTGGGAGGTTGCCTCTGACCTCCAGTCCCATGGGGGGGCCCCCTGGCTTAAGTGGAGGCCTTGGTGCCCCTCTCTACCCGTCTCTGTCTTCCTCCTTCCCTGTTGAGGGTCCCCAGCCAGGTCACTGGAGCAGTGGGAACCCGGGCGAGGTGCCCCCCCGAGTTGGGCCCATGGCGCTGGGATTCCGCCTCCTGAGTTCAGGCTGAACTCCCAGGAGCACCTGGAGTCTGAGGCTGAGGAGGAGGAGTGGTCTTCCCGGCTGGGTGAGGGGCAGGATCCACCCAGGCCCAGCGCAATCTCATGACTCAGCCGGGAGGGACAGTGGCCAGGTAATGCAGTGGCCGCCGGGATTGTCCGCTCCTGGGCGGGCAGCCCAAGCAGGATTTTAAACCCGAGCAGCTCTGGGAGTCCTAGGTACGCCCCCGACCCCTGCCGAGCTACCACCCCTCCCCGAAGCCCGAAGCGGTGCAGCGGCTGCGGGCGGACTGCGAGCCGACCTTGCAGCGTCCCCACCCTCCCGCAGCGCAGCTTCCGCAGAGGAAATCCTGGAGGCCCGGGGAGGGGGCAGCCACGCGGGGCGGGGCTGCGGCGACGGCCCCCGGATCCCCAGGCCCGCAGTGACCTCTCGGCGTCCGGGCCTGGGGCCCACCCTGCGCACTCGAGGCACCGACTGCTCTGCCGCCTCCTGCGGTCCCCACCGCAGCCGCAGCCTCCCAGGCCCCGACTGCCCCAGGGGCCTTTGTCCCACTAAAATGAAACTCAGCGTTTCTCCTTTCTTGGCGACACTTTATTGCACTGAAAAATAGCCCCGAGCCAGTCTGCCGGTCTCATCCCTCGAGGGGCTGGTTGGGGGGGGGTTCAGGGGTCTGGGGACGCCCTTCTCCCGCCCTGCGGTGCGAGGGGCAGCGGGGTTCGGGAGGCGGGAGGCGACCGGGGCGCAGTTACCAAACACGCCGGGGCCCAGCGGAAAGGGGGGCGCGGAGACCCCCCGCCCTTTCCCCCTCCCCGGGCAGGCAAGGACTGTTCCGACTCGCAGGTTCGCACGTGCGGGAGCCCAGCGCCCACGAGGCTCCTTGCATGGCGGGAGGGGGTGGCAGTGAGGACCCTGTGAGGGGGTGGCAGTGAGGCGGGGGGAGGGCAGGTCTACACCGGGGGATCCGATGGCGGTGGGGGGCAGTGTCTAGGATTTCGAGTTGAAGGGCAGGCCTGGGTCGCGCGGTGGCTTAGAGAGCTGGAGCCCCGGCGGTCCCCGGAATCGCGCCGGGGGCAGGGTTCTAAGGGGAGACGCGCGCGGCCCCGCGGCTCGGGCCCCGCCCCTCGGCGTCCCCTCCCCCGCCCTCCTCGTCATGCTCGGCGCGGGCGGGGGGCGGGGAGCTCCTCCATGTGACGCGCCCTCCCCGCCGTGCCCTTCAGCCGCCGCCGCAGTTCGCGCGGTGCCACATGGACCCTGCCGGCCCGAGCGCGCCCCGCCGCTGACCGCGCGCCCGGCCTTGGGAAGGTAACCGGTGCCCCCGCGCGCAGCCCGCTCCCCGGTCCGCCCCTTCCCCGGCTCCGGCCCCGGGCCCCGTCTTCCCCGGCCCCTCTGCCCCGGCTCCCTCCCTGCTCCCCTTCCCCGCTCCGCGCGCTGGGTCCGGGCGGGCGCTGTCCGCCGGCGTGGTGCTGAAGCGGCCCCCGCGGTCCCCTGCCGCACCTGCTCTTTCTCGCTCCTTCTCCCCAGTCTCCCGGTCTCCTCCCTCGTTCTCTGTCTTCTTTTTCCTTTCTTCCGGCTCGCTCCCGCTGAGGGCCGCTCGGCAGAGCCGGTCGCTGGCCAGCAAAGCCAAGGGGTGCGGCGGCCGCAGGAGCCCCAGCCAGCCAGGGCGGGGGTGGGAGCGCCGGGGGTGTCTCGGTCCTTGCGGGAGCTCCCGCAGCACCCGGAGCCTCTCCGCGCCTGTCCCTGCCTTGCCCTCCTTCTCTCCCGCCCTAGGAGCCAGGGGAGAAGTTTGGAAGAGAATCTGCTTTGCGGCAAATGCTCCCCTGTGCACCAGCGCTCTAAGGGGCCCTTCCCGCCCCACCACCCCTCCCCGCGCGGGTCTCCTTCCTCTGCGGAGGGAAAACTGTGGAACAGCGGATCTCCAGGGACCCAGGTTTCCCTGACAGGAGAGACCCCACCAGGGGGGCCGCTGCAGCTGCTGTGATTTTACACAAAGTCCCCCCAACACTCGGGAGGCCCACCTGCCTGGGAGGAGGGCTCGGGACCTGGAGCGCCCACCCCGAGCAGAGGCAGGTGGACGGTGGTCTGCCCCTCATTTGTTCCCTGCAGGCTTAGCCCCCTGGAGTTCCTTGCCTCCACCCCAATCTCTTCTGCTGTGGGCTGGGGGCACTGGAATCTCCTCAAGAGTAGAGGCTAGCCCCCAGTACTCCTTGGTCAGAAGCCACAGGAGTCTTCCCTGGAGGGCACCCACTCAAAGACCCTCCCACCCTAAGCCTTCTCCATGGCATTGGCCTCAGGGCCACCATGGAGGCCGCAGGCCAGGTCCTGGGCTGCAAAGCAGGAGCAGTCACCTTCAAACGCCCCATAGGCCCTGCCCCCGCTTCATGCAGGCTGGCGCCAGACTCCTCTGAGCTGTGCCCCTCACGAGGTGCTCACTCCCCTACTCCCCTTGCAGACCCCCCAGGGGCTGGGGGAGACCACTTTGCAGGTTCAGCTGGGGCCCTGGAGCCTGCACATTCTGGTCTGGGTATGGGGACAACCCCTTCCTCATATAGGGAGTTTCCTAGCCACCCCCTCCCAGTGGAGGTGTCCAGCCTGCAAGGTGTTGGGGCAGGGGACAAATGATGGTCCCTGTGGGCCAGACCTTGGCTCAGGGGAAGGTTGGGCCAAGGGAAGAAGCCCAGGACAGGTCAGGGTGACCAGTGACTACTTTGCTCTCCCCCAGGAAGAGGACTCCTGGCTACACTTGAATGTGAATTCTGACCCTTGGCGAAGTCGCTGAGGAGTCCGAGCCATCGTCATGGAGTTCGTGATGAAACAGGCCCTGGGAGGTAGGGAGTGGGCAAGGGGACGGGAGGGGGCCATGGGGCTGGACCTCCGGATGGGCAGGTCCAACTGCTGCTCAGCCCAAACTCCCAGCAGCACAAGCATGACCGCCTGCAGACCCCACACACGGCCTATGTAAACAAACCTGCACCCCCTCTGAATGAGCCCAAGGGGATCAGGACGCGAACGCTGTGTCCTGCAGCACCCCTGGACCAGCATTCGGGTGGTGAGGGTGCAAGCAGGACTAGGCAGGTGGGGAGGGGTGCCCGGCATGCAGGCAGGAGATGCAGGTGACTGCAGCAGGAAGCTAGGTGGGGGCAGGGCTGGCAGTTTGGTGAGGACCCTGTGGGCTTCACCTGGGCTGGGGCAGCACCCTCCACAGGGAGGCAGGGCTGGTTGCATACAGGAACAAAAGAAGGGGCCCAGAACAGCTTATGTGACTGACTGCCCCCCAAGGAGGCAGTGCAGTCTCTTGGGTGTGCAGCGGGGAGGGCAGGCCCCCTTCCAACCTGCTATTTGAAGGGAATCCTGTCTCCACCTGGCCCATGGTCATCTTTGTGGCCAGAGACCACGCCCAGAACTACAGTGCATTCGAGGATACTGCTGGGTCCCCGGGCTTGAGGTTGGTGGGACAGTGGGCTGAGGGGCTGGTCTGTGTTGGCACAGACTTTTCCCGCAGAGCTGTCCGTCTGCTCAGGCCTGCAGGCCCTGGGGCTGTCCTGGGCAAGTCACAGGCCTGCCCAGAGCCAGCCATCCTGTGTGCCCCAGCTCCCCTATGCAGCACCAGCCCCCAGAGCTCCCATGAGGGGAGCCTGCAGCCAGTGCCTGACCCCACCACGGCGGTGGCAGCATCACCCTTCAATCCTTTGGCCTCTGTGGGGAGCATTCTGACCTGGTGCCATTCACAGCTTGGTGTGATCTGGTGGCACCTGGGAGTGTTTCTGCAGAGAGGGGAGCTGGCTGGGGCCGTGGTGCCGGGGACCTGGGCAGACAGAGGGGCGGGTGCCACTGCCCCCAGGACAGGCGCACACGCATGGGCTGTGTCCTGAAGGACGCCTGTGCTTTTACTCAGCACAAATTAAATGGAAAGCTGTTTGAGCCTGGCCTGGGGCCACATCCCTGAGACTTCATGGTCAAGGTTGGGCTGGAGGTTGGGGCTAATTATAATGATTACGTCACCAAGACATGTTTCCGGGACAAGCCAGCATCCTGCACCAGGAGGGACCAGGTTCCTCCCGGCTGTTACAGACAATTAATTAGGTGGCTAATTCAGGCCCTGAGGTGGGTTTTTAAGAAAACTGAAATATCTGATTTGTCTGTCTGCATGGCTGAAATTAGCGGGGTAATTGCCAGCCTGTGTTCCCTCTTTGTTTCCCGTCAACCAGAAGTTTCCCCTGCATCCGCGGTGGGGCGGGCACCAGGGAGCACCGTGGAGGCTGGGGGGCAGCCAGTGGGCCTCGGGGACTCCCTGGCCCAGCACGGCCCAAACCACCCAGGATTCTCTGAGCAGCTCCTGGTGCACGTGGCCCAGGCTGCTGTGGCTGTGCCGGGGCAACTCCCCGGAGACCTTGCTTCTGCCCCCAGCTCTGCTCTCCACTGGTTGGGGTGGACACTATTGGTGTCTCAGGATGAGTGTGAGTGACAGGGAGACAGAGACGAGGCCCCAGCAAAAGCATTCTGAGAGGCAGACCGAGCCCCAGATGCGAAGAAACCGGCAGGCAGGGGAGCAGCAGGGGCCCAGGAAGGGGGTCTGAGAGAGGTGAACCAAGAAACAGGGACCAGGGATGGGAGCGAGTTGGAGAAAGAAAATGACAGCCCAGAAACAGAGACCAAGAGAGACGGAGACAGAAATGCACTCAGCATAGCAAGGAACAGACAGAGATGGAATCAGAGAGGCTGTGGAAGAGAGGGGAGAGAGAGGGAGATGGAGGGAGACAGAGAGTGAAGAGGAGGGGTCCTTCTCACGTGTCCTGAGCCTCTGCTCAGCCTGTGCTGGAGAAAACAGGCTGCTGGACTCAGGAACCCCATGTCAGGCAGACAGGTGTTTCTGGCTCCCCAGGTGTGTGGCCACTCTGAGGCTCGCAGCCTGGTTCAGGGGACAGGGGGAGGAGCCTGGGCTGCATCTGGCCTTGGGCCTGTCTGCGCTGACTGGTGAGGGGCAGCCCTTGCCTTGCAGTCACCCCCCCACACCCCTGCCAAGTCGGCAAGTTCCTGGGACCTCCCACGCAGCAGGGCCTTGGATGAGACCCCAGGAGGAGCAGGACAGCAGGGCTCTGCATCTGCTGCAGTGGGCAAGTAATGCCCTGGAGCTCTAGGTGACCCCAGGCCTTTCCAGCAGTTCAGCATGGACGCCTGGACCCTCCCCAGTCTCTGCAGCCCCCTGAGGGTGTTGCGGCTCTGCTGCCTGCTGAGGCCCTCGCCATGGGTAACCCAGGAGCGGGGCAAGGACCTGGGGTCACCTGCTGCACCCAGGAAGAGAAGGTGGAGGGAGGTAGCAGCCGGGGGCGCCCAGGCCCTATGGCCTTCCCCCGAGGCTCTGGGTGCAGGTGCAGCCAGACCTGTTCCAGGGCAGGGGAGTGGCTGGTGGACGGGAGAGTGTCCAGGCTTGTGCAGAGGCTCTGGGCCCATTTCCTTATCTGTCTCCACCTCTGACTTCCCCACCGGCACCCCCATGCCGCAGGGCACGCAGCTCCTTCCTGCTCCAGCCTTGGCCTGCAGGCACTGGTCTCGACTCCCCACCCCTTTCCCACCAGCTTTCGGAGCCCAGCCAAGGTCCCCCACCTCCTCACGTCCTGTGGCCCCACACCTGGTCCCTGTCTCATCTGCGCCCACACAGCTGTCTCAGGGGTTACTCACGTAACGTCTGGGCTCCCGGCTGCAGGGTCCAGGAATCTGAGCAAGGTGGCCAGCCAGTGCCGTGGGCCTTGCTGGGGCAGGACAGGGAAGGATGGGTGGCCTCCTGGCATCTGTGTCCCCTCTCCTCACCCCCTCCCCATGCTGGCAGCTTCGGCATTGCAGGGCCCTGGGAGGGTGCGCTCACCCGGCCGCCCTGTCCACAGTGCTGGTCCCTTACCACCAGGCTCCTGCCCAGGCATCCTCTCATCCCTCAACGCTCGAAGCTGCCTTGCTGGGTGAACACCCGTCCACCCTCAGCCACTGCCGCGACAGCAGCCCCCACCCACAAGCAGGCACCTTTTCAGGACCTGCCAGGCACAAGCCAGGCTGGGTGTTCTCCCCTTTGACTCTGCAGGTATGTGTTGAGCGCCCACCAAGGCCAGGGACCCCTGGGAGGGGGACATGGAGGAGGGGAGAATACTCCTGGGGCCAAACTGTGGAGGAAGGTGTCCACCTGCAGCAACTCATTCTTCTCCTGAGAATGCCCTCGAGGGCTTGTCAGGTCCTGCACGGCCTCCAGATTTCAGTTGGCCTTCGCCAGTGTCAGCCCCCAGAGGAAGGAAGTGGAAGGCTGAGTTTCAGTAGCCCGCGGGGAGTGGGAGGCCTGAGGCCCGTCTGCACTACGTGGCCTCGAACCTGTGCGTCTGCAGGGATTTGGGATGCAGAGTCCTTAGAGTGCAATTTAAATAAACTGTTTCTGCAGGGCCAGGCAGCGACAAATGGCCTTGAGCTGTATTTACACCCTGGAGGGAGTGTGCGCAGTTGAGGCATGATGTGATCAGGCTAAACCCTAAATTGGGCGGAGGTGGAAACTGTGGCCTGAATGACCCGGTCAGCTCTCGCTCCCCATCTCTCCACCTTGGGGTGACGCTCCCTGTCTGGAACACGCTCAGGGCCTCAGGGATGACGGCTCAGGGGCGGGAGGGCTCCAAAGAGGAGGGAGCTTGCAGGGCTGCAGGTCAGGCAGGAACAAGCTGTGCAGGGCGGTGGAGGCTGGCAGCCTCCCGGCAGGGCCCACACCCCAGCCCAGCCTCATCATGCACGCCCTGCAGGCCTCTAGCAACCTCAGTGGCTTGGCCAGTGTGGACAGGGTCCTGCAGTGAATCCACCTGGGCCTGGCTGGCCAGCTGGTCTGCACCCACCGAGAGGCTGGGTACCGGGTCCTGCGGCCCACCTCGGGGGAGGGAGGAAACGAGTGAGCAGGGAGAAAGCTCTGTGCGGACATGCTTGTGGGTTGAGAATGAGAGGAAGGTCACGGCCGCCCAGGCCGGGGTGGACAGTGGAGAAGTGTCTCACGGACACGTCAGGCGGGAAGGGCAGGGTCCCTCCTGCGGCAGAGCCTGGGGGGGCTGCCTGTGGTCAGGGAACCCCTCCACTCCCCTGTGGGTGGGGTCTGTGAGCTCTGCCAGGACACCCCAAGGGGCTTGTAAAGGATCCATCCCCAAAGGTGTGGCAGCGACAGCAATCCGTCCGCTCGAGATGTGGGGCAGGATCTCTGTGAGCAAAGGCCACCAGAGCCAGGAGCCCAGCAGGGAAGCCCTTCCCCCAGCCACACTGCGGCTGGTACCAGCATCTCCCCAACCCTCCAGGGGCACAAGGGGTGGGGGTACCTCCTTCCTTCGTGCTGGCACCAAATTGGGGCTCATCCCTCCCCATCTGGGACCCTCCCTCACCTCACCTCCCAGTACCTCAGGTCAGGGCCATGGAGGGAGCCTGGGACCTGAGTGGTTCTGTCCTGACTCCCAATGTCCACCCACTGGCTGTACACCAAGGGTGAGGCCGTGTCCTGTCCTATCCCAGGCCAAGGTCCTGAGGGCAGGACTGGTCCCACGGGCTCCCCAGCCCTCTCTGCTCTTGCCCAGTTTGGGGCTCGGCAGCTCTATTTATCAGGGGCCTCTCATGTGCTGTTGTGGGTCTAGGCAGTTTGGGGTCCTGCCATTTCCTGCCCCATTGGGACACTGGCAAGGCCAAGTTTTCTGGCATCTGGGAGGATGATGAAGCTGCAGGCTGAGCTGGGCTGCAGGGGAAGTAGCAGATCAAAGGGGAAGCTCTCGAATTTCACATGGAGAAAATGCTTTTGGCTGCAAGTTACAGAACTAGAGGGAGAGTA